TTTCCATATTTGTAAAATCCTTCCTCCAACCACTGTAAACCTCTGGAAGTGTTGTGGCACCGATAAGTCTTCAGACTCAAGGATCGGTTACTCCCGCCTCTGTATGCAACCTCTTAATGCAATGGATCATTTCATTGCTTCTTATATGTTATTATATTCTGTATGTCTCTATATATTTAATATTCATTTTCTTTCTTTGATGGAGCCTCACCAGCCAAAGCATTTCTCATGATTGTACTCGTATAACCGGAGGGACCACACATCTTGGATCTTGATCGCTGGCCCGCTAGATGCTACTCAGCAAATCGGCAACTATTTTGATTTTCAAGCAAGAAGGCCGAACGTTTGTTGGTTCCAGCTCCTCAGAGATGAGGATGTGTTGCTCTTCTTCATCATGTGAGCTGCATGGGAGTGATCCCAGTGCCCATGGGGTCTAGACTGTTGCAATGTGAACTATCACTTTGGGTTCTCAGAAATTGCCAAGTTGAAGAATTAATTGATGACTAGAAAAAATATGTTGCAGATGAATCGATAATGAAAATAATTGTTAGTTGCAGCCTGACCACACAAGGAACACTCATGAGTATTCAGAATGATGACAGTCCTGTGGTAGGTCCGCCTCCAGGAGTCACATTTCATCCTTATAACAGCCCCGCCCCTGCCACCACCACCAGCTCTCTGATTGGGCAGAAGGGCTCCCAGCACTTGCATCTTTAATGGTAAGATTTGACAAGCGATCTGGGGTGGGGGGGTGGTAACCTGAGGTAATGATACACAGGGGGAATCAAAGGCAGCTCTGCAGGGTTGTGCTTAACCTGCAGAGCTGAGGAGGAGGAGCCCACTCTGAGAACAGGATCAGGTGTCGTCCTACTCTGTATTCAAAACTATCTCTGAAGAACTCTAATGTTAAAGGATTCATGAAAGCACTCAATGTATTTAGGCACCAGCATGTTGTAATTCATGAACACAGGGGGGGTGCAGCATCACAGTGTTCTGTCTGTTCTTCTGCATCACATGCAGAGCTGTACAGGAGGACGTAGAAAGCAGTCAGTGGCTACTCACCAAACGCTCTGACATGGGTGTCTTGTCTGAGGCCGGTAGGTGCTGCTCCAGGGCCAGCACGATGCAGTTTGCTATAATGGTGGACAGGATCATGTACTCAAATGGAGTGAAAGTGTTAAGGACAATACATCCACAGGTTGCTACACATGCAAACACAAACCACAACATTAACACAATACATACTAGACTCTTCCTCTCCACTACAGGAACAGGTGGTGCATCTTTCCAACATACAGTACAACACACACACACACATTGTTAAAGCAGCTATAGCTCATGCATCAATGATACATGTCAGCTTCACTGTGAGAAGAAATCAAAGGAGAAGAGAAGAGCTCCTGTCTGTCAAACAGGAGAATCCCTCAACCTGCTGTAGCTCCAGTTCATAGCAGCTCTTTAGCTCAGTGTTCACACTACAAAGTGAATGTGCAAATGAACACCCATCATTCTACAGCTATGGCTGCTCACAGCGAGGAAAACAATGAAAAATACTATTTTGCATTGTTAAGATTAACTGTAATGGGCTTTAGCGATCTAAAGTCTCAGTTTGATTGACATCCAACAGAACACATATTGTACAACTTAGTATTAAATGGCAAAGTATGTTCATTCTTGTATAATTACTGCTTAAACCGCAGACAGTAAAGATTAGTATATAGTAATTGTGGTTTACAGTTTGATACTGAAAGCAGCAGATCATTTACTTCCATAAAGTCGGGGACTCACAAAGAACGGAGTAATGCAACCAGCAGAGGTCCTGAGTCCACAACACTGGGTCCTACATTTCACATATTGCATCCAATAGGATCCTTCATATCCCACCAGCCCCCATCCTCATGCGAGAGAGGGAGCATTTGCATTGCCTCTCAACGGCTCTCAGTGTGTTGATGGCGAGCAGCTCTCAGCTAACGGTGCTAACAGCGCTAACTACAGCACAAGTGCTGACGGAGCTAACGGGGAAACTACAGACCACGCTGTCTGTCTGTCTGGATGGCGTTATGGGCTGTAACCGCCGTATGAGAGCAGAGCAGAGCGGCGCCGTGAGCGAACCAGTGGGGCACGCTCACGTGCACTAACCTGAGGTGAAGCTGTGATAACACACTGCATCCTCTGCTCAGGTAGACATTACTCCTCCATGATATCATGATGATGATAGTTGTTTGATATGTTCATGTTCAGAACGGTAAATGTCCTGAGCCCAGGCTGAGATGACCCTGATGATGTCACCGGGGTTAATTCTTCAGACTTTAGAAAGCTCCCTTGGAGAGCCACAGCAGACGACATCAGAACAGCTGTCACCAGCTGACTAGATGTGTAAATGTGGAGAGTTCTATCTCAATGGCCTCAAACTAGTTGGCTAGCTAGCTGCATCTATACTCCGATACAGTCCTCCATAGAAACACTCACATCTTCTCTTTTCCTGTCAGATAGAAACGCATTTCTGCAGAGTTTCTTATTTCAAGACATCAAACACTGATTTGAGCAGATTATTGGGTATTTCAGCCCCCTCTCAGGTCTGCCAGGAGCAGGACATCCTCAGGAGAGGAAGCTGGCCAGTGGACTCCAGTCAGATCCCCGCTGCTCTGCATCAGGACAGAGGGCTCAGTAATGCACTGCACCACCACAGCGGGATGAATGTTTGCTAAGCAACAGGGGTAACCAACCAGTGACTTAAGTAACGGAGCCCATTACACAACTCACCGTGTCCTCACAAAGTATCCACATCTGCACCACTGACACGGTGGTGCTGTCTGCCGGTCTGAAGCCTGCCTCCTGCTGCATCGTGCTGCTGTGCCCTGTTTGTGCCGTCACACCCATGCAGTCTGCTGGTAGCTTCAGCACCACGGACAGCACCAGCTGCCACAGACATGGTCGACCAAGTAAACCCACGTTAACCCTGGATGTGCTCTATAACCCAGTTCATGAAGACAGAATGAGCAATGTTCTGATAGAGCGCTCACTCCATCAGCAGATCTCAGTCAAAAAATATGAAATATCATCACAAGAAACTCATTGATGAACTTATGTGAAACACCAAGCATGAACACAACAATTCTCTTTCTTGTCAACAGTTGTAGCCGACATGAACTGAAGGAAATGGAAGCATTTATACTGTACAGAAAACTGACCGGGGATCTGTGAATGAAGGCTGTGGGAACAACTGTAGAAGTTTGACATTATAGTGACACACACACACACACACTTCTATTCATATTGTATTTATGCCAAATGAACAGGTCTATCCTTTCGTTGCAATTAAGAGTGTCTCATTACCGAGACACGTGACTATTCTGCCGGTTGGACATATGGACATATGTCCAACCGGCAATATGGACATATGTGCGTAACGACCTCGCGTTCTGCGGGACACAGCGGCACGTGTGACGGGGAGACGGGACTTTAAGGATATGGCCATTCGGTGATCCGTTTGGCATATTTCCGTATGACATTATCCTCACTGAAGATGAACAGAGAGCGGTTGACGGTGAGGCAGCTCTGTTTGACTGGGATGGGGTTGTAGATGGCCATGGTCCGGGCTCTCTGGGCCATCGTCTGCTTGTACACCCTCTGGACCCCCGGAGGCCCCGGCGGCCGGCCGGCCCCTCTGGTCGGGCCCGCGGGACAGCTGCCTCCATAGCGGCCGGACGGTTCGTCTTCAAAGCGGGCCATTGTGGGAGAGCGCGGGTCTTGCTGGAGAAACCAAAAGTGACAGCTGAAAAGAGAGGGAGCATCCCAACACACGCCGCCCCGTCCCCCAGGTCCCCCGGGTCCTTTAGGTCCTTGAGGCGCGTGCAACGTCCACGAGCAGAAGAGTCACACATTCACGAGGAAACAGAGAGTGGAGGCTCTTTTTCCTCAACGTCAGTTCCTCATCTCTCCGTCTCTGCTGCTTCCCATGCTGCCACTGGCCCCCACACCAAAGTTTACACCATCAGGTTCCATGATGCATCACTGTTCATGGGCGGCCCCGGTCCTCAGAGGGCGTCAACGGTTCAAGTCCACGATATCCCGGAAAGAAAACGTCAGTTTCACAGTAAAGAAAATACCGCGAACCGTCAGCGCGACGAGTGGAGACGTTGTCCTCTAGAAAGCGTCCACCAACACTTCTCTTCCCGAAAGACTCGTCTCTGTTCCCAGATACACGCGGGACGAGTCTTCTTAGCACCGCGTCGCTGCTCGGACCAGGTCAGCGACACGCCGCCGGCACTCTCTCTGTGTCGGTAACGGAGCACAAACCCCGGCTGAGCAACTTGTTCGCGTCAACTCTCCGGTGATGAGAACGCAGACTACTTTCTCACTGCTCCCTCTCCAGACCCCACGTGACCCACAGGACGCAAGTCAGTGGCTCCACCTGGCCCGGCCCTGTTTCCACAGCAACAGGGAGGAGAGCGAGCCCCGCCGCCGTCAAGTTACACGGAACAGAGAGCACTTCCGGGAGGACGTTCAAAATAAGAGCATGAGATGTGCTAATACAGCATAATGTACAATACTTGCCTAGTGTAAAACTAGTGTACATCAACAACTTCCGGCCAAGCTTTTCAAAGTAAAAAGAGACATTGAAATTTCTAAAAAGGATTTATTGATGAAAATAAGTCAATTTATGCTTCAAGAGGACTATAATGAACATACAATTAATTATAGGTGACGGGGAACCATTTGACATGTTCAAGTTGTATGAATTACTTTGCACAGGTTACAATCAAACAAATGGCATGTAGCTACATTACATTACAGTCATTTAGCAGACGCTTTTATCCAAAGCGACTTACAATTCAGATTCTATCACATTTCTACACCGTAGGCACAGCTACGGGAGCAATTTTGGGGTTAAGTGTCTTGCTCAAGGACACATCGACATGCGACTAGCGGAGCCGGGGATCGAACCGCCGACCCTCTGATTGAAGGACGCCCTGCGCCGACCCTCTGATTGAAGGACGGCCCTGCGCCGACCCTCTGATTGAAGGACGGCCCTGCTATCCACTTAGCCACAGTCGCCCCATAACAACGGAAATCATGTGAAACTAGCAGACTACATATCCTAAGTTATCACATTTAAAAAAAACTATTATCAAACAAAAATGAAAGTACTTTATTAAAAATGCTGTAGGACTCAAAGCAAAAATGTAATTTTGAAATTGGTTCAAATTGCAGTTAGTGAGGAACTGTGACTCGATGGTGAACATGATGATCAGACCAGCGTGTGGTTGAGTTGAAGTGAATCTGTGGATTCACTCGACATGAAACGGTCTGGGAGGTTTCACAAAATAATACGGAGCTGCATTTGGATTTGCCGAGCTAACAAACCGGCAGCAATGTTGACCAGTAATCTGCTTCCACACTGAGGCCAGCAGAGCTCAGGGACCTGCAGAGGACTGCAGCAGCTCCCAGGAAAACCACTAATCATTTCATTTCACCAAATTTGTTTTACTAGAAAGTATTACTGATGACTCGTCTCACATTTGACTCGTCTCAGTTATTTGACAGTCTGTCGTTGTGATATCTTCACTTAAATGTGCCAACCACACAGTACGGCCAAAGGTCTGTCCACATACCTTTGTGTACTTGTGGTCTGGGTTAGTTGTTCCTGGTCTAGAATAGAGTACTATAGTTACACTATATGGTTAAATGTATGTGAACATACAGTATGCTGCTGTGTACCTTCGGTCTAGGTCACTTCTTCCTGGTTCGGGTCCTTCAGTTCCAATAAAAATGAACGTTAATGCTCCAGCATACAAAGATATTTTGGACAGTAGAGACTTTGTGTCAACAGTACGTTTGTCCCCTTTCTGTTTCAACATGACGACGTGTCCGTACACGTCAGCTCCATACAGACATGATCTCCCAGTCTGGTGTGGAAGGACTGATCCAACACCTTTGGGCTGAACCGGAACACCAACCGTGAGCGAGACCTGATCAGCCAGCACAGATGCTGGACCTCACCGACACTCCTGAAGCCGTGTCCCTACTTTCTCCTGACAACTAAAGTTCATTAATAAAAAACAAGATGAAAAGAGCTTTCACATGTGTTTAATGTCTAATTAGACACGTAGTAAAACGCGTGTTCATAGAAGACATCAGACTACAGGAACATCACTTCACTTCACTAATACACATATTTGCAGTATTAAAGCGAGAGTGCATGAGTGCAGATATGATGTCACCACTCTGACATACAGTATTTGGGGCTGGTGGCGAGCTACAGGGTCCTTCATGTAGAAAAGTGACCTCATCAGGTGCATCAATGAGTCAGATCCTGTGCTCTGAGGTTACGGACTCTCACAATGTTTGTGAAAGTTGCTTTAAAACTGTGAATTCAAGAACATCCCGTTGGTGTTGACTTAATGAAAGCATCACGTTCCGTGTTTCTGACGGTGACGAGGTCAGAGGTCAGAGCGCATCCCGGCAGAGAGGGACCAGTGAGTTCCTATCCGCTGCCGGCCAATTGGCGACACTTGACAGAGCCACACTGGCAGCTGAAGTACTTGCTCTTCACCCTCCAGTAGTGATCGCCATAGTCAAACCTGTTGAGGAAGAGGCACCCGTCCATCATGTTATCTTTGTTTGAACCGTTTACTTGAGGTTTTCTACTGAAGGGTTTCCTCCACTCACCCCATCTGGTCTCCAGCTCTGATGGGCCTGCTGGAGAAGAAGGCTATCCTGGGGAGGCGTAGATCCTGGTGCATGGTGAACACCCTCACAGCCAACAGGTTGGGCTCACACAGGTGGTTGATGAAGCGGCCGATGTTGCCAAAGAGTCTCGCATCAATACAATGCACGTCTCCCACCTGCACAAGATAATGAACACAAAGATTCACGGTCACATGTTCTTCATCTGGAGGGCAAACACAGCGAGAGCACCAGAAATGTAATAATAATCCACGAGGACATCAAAGCTTTGACCTGCTGAACTTACTGTGTGTCTGTGAGCTGTGCTGGATGTTTACAGGAGACCGCTCACCTTCACCTTCTCTTAGAACTAGTGTTAACCTGTTGGTTTGTTTCCAACCGTTCTGATCATCTGACTACGTGTGCTCCCAGCTTCTGTCCTGAATCTACTCCTGCACTGGAACCACTGCACTAACAGTGTTCAACAAGCTTCTTTTTCCGGGGGCCCACTTTTTAAAAATGACAAACCAACCCAAGACACAATAACCCTGATCTATAGATGAGAGGGAACTATCCTGAACAGATAGCAGCCATTTAGAAAAGATGTACATTTGATAAATCACAATGTGTTTTATGCATGCGTTATTGAAAATACATCTTATATAATTTATGAGACCAAACACATTAGAGGCTAACAGACTGTCTCACTCCTCTCATCAGTAACACAAACACAGTAAATAGGCTCAGCAGGCTCCGGTCATCAGAACAATCCCAACACTCAGCTCCACCATGTGGCTCACAACTGTACTGCAGATAGAAATGTTTAACAAAAGACGATTCAAATTCTGCTCATTTATTTGTTGACTGATGAAATCCCCTGCGTCCCCTCTGTGGGTCCCGACCCAGTGTTTGAGAATCACTGCATGCAGCCTCACAGAGGCCAGAGGAATACATCAACAGGTTGGTTTGACCATCTTTCTTTAAGATACGTGAACAGAACAAAGAGACTCGTCCACCCTGCTCACATCAACCGTGTGCTGGACGGACTGAGTGGTGTGTGATGAGCGGCTCTGCAGCGCCCCCTGCTGACCGACTGTCAGAGCACATGCAGTGTGTCTGACATGACGGTAGAATGGAGATTGCGGTACACGTTTACATATGAGGCCTTTGACATAGCTCAGGCTTTGTCAACATGTGAGCGTGTTGTATGTTAACCGTCTATAACGTAGTGGACATGTGTGTACAGAAGCATGTAGTGGCTCGTGTCTCCTTGTCTCTGAAGACGAGGTGACACCACGTGGGCCGGCCCCCTTTAGGTATGTGACACTTGAATAAAGGAACATACAGACGTTTTCAATCCCACAGCACTGACATTACACCGTCATGTGGTGTGACTGGCAACTAACTGAGCGACACTTAAATCCACAACAGGATCAATTAAACTGAATCTCGACTTCATTACTAAGCCACACATTAAACACTATTTCATGCTTTTCCATTTTTACTCGTGTAATTCTACAAACTGCAACTGTGAAACATCTATACATTGATATTTGTTCTGATCATTTCTGCTGATGCAGCAGAAAGCTCATGAGTCGTAGGAGTCAGAGTCCTAACTGAGCATCCGACCTGCAGCGAGCCGTCCTTCTTCTCTCACCTCAGAACCAACATGCACCTTCACCGAGCACACCTTTCTGAATGGATGTAAACCAATAGAAACACCTTGTTGTCGAGGGCGAAGAGGAAAGAGTCGTTCTCCCTTTTATCGGCCTCTGCATCCGTGATGATCTCCCCGACATACCTGTGGAAGCATGAGAGGGAAAGGAGCTCAGAGTGCAGCTTCTCTTCAATACTTCATGCTGTGAAACACTGAATTCAGTCGTTTCTCTTGCAACGGTCTCTCCTTACTCGCAGATGAATGTTCCCTGAGGGATATCCTGCATGGCCCTCACTCCCCAGCCCATCTTCTGAGTCCTGAAGAGCTGCAGCCGCGCTCTGAAGCAAACAACAAGGAGATTATCTCTGCAGCAGCAGCAGCAGCACATTAAGACAAAAAATGACATTGATTTGATTCAAGAAAACAGTTTCAAGAGAGAAAACCTCCTTAGAGAGCCTGTTCTCTACTGGGAGAGCACATTGAGTCCTGTTTCCTCTGGCCTGGGTTAAAGGCCTGCCAGCCATGTCTCAGTATGCACACTGTGACCACTGGGTTCTCCTGAGCCCACGGTGTGTGTTACTGTGTGACGGGATGGGTGTCGTCAGGATTCTATCCATACTACTACTACTCGTATCGATGGTCTTTATCAATATCGTTATCGTTTCTTTTTCATGAGTAAATTAATGTTTTTTAATATATTATTTCCACCATAGAACTGAGAGCAGCCTGTTCAGATGCAGTGCGTTTATGATGCTGGACCAGGCGTAGTCCAGATGTTGTCCGTGTTAGGAGCTCTGAGAGTTCCTGTCGTTCATTCTCAGCTAAAGGAAAATAGGAGAATGTTGAAATCATTTTCCATGACTGAAAGGAAACCCTGCTGACTTCCAATGCAGCCACATTGGAGCTATATGTGCCGATTGAAGTCGGTGCTCATTCACACTGTGCACTGCTGCTGTTTCATATGAAACCTTCCCCCAGGAAACCCGAAGGCTTTTAAATAGGAAGGAGAGGTGGGAAAGGAAACAGCCACAGTGAGCTGTGGATGAAGAGCTGCAGAAGAAATGTCTGAGAGCGGAATAGGTCACCTCAGTCCGTTCTGGACCACTCGGTTCCTGCAGGTCCTCCAACAGGAGCAGGCGTGGTTACACTCAAACAGCACTGGGGGCTCCCTCTGACAGAAGTCCAGAGGTAGTCGACCCTCCTACACACACACACACACACACACACACACACACCAAGAAACACGTTACAAACACTCATCTACACTTGAAACCATTTATCTGTGCTTTCACAAAACCAGATGTTTGATTTTGTATTCACAGCTGGAAACATATTTTGGAAAAAAACTAGAATTACTGCCAAATGTTTTCAACTCATGAGAATTTCACACGAATGTCCAACAGTATAACATTTTATACTATTAGACATTCGTGTAAAATTATCATAACTAGCATTTCAATTCTTGAGTTATGGACAAAAAGCTGTTTGTGGTCACAGTGACCCTGACCTTTGAGCACCAGAATCTAATCAGCTCATCCTTGAGTCCAACTGGACATGTGTGGCTAATCTGAGATCTCACATTCACGGAAAATGTGTGTGTATGGAGGACCGGACGGACAGACGGGAACATAACGGCCTCCAGCCTCCAGCCTGGCTGTCTCTGGCGCGGAGGCGTAAACCTGGAGCCTCACAAACCGTCAGCACTGTTTTAATATCCTCAACTAGCTCTAATAAAATGTGTTCAACTAATGAATACCTTATTTCCATGTGGAATAACTGTAGTATGTTATTAAAGAGTAAACACTCATGTGACTAAGTGGAAGTGACAGTAAAAAAATAAATACATACGATAGTTAAACACTGAATAAGTTATTTTATTATTGTTAAAAGCAACAGACATTGAAATAACCCCACAGAATCATAGCTGAGTCTAAGTGTGTGTGTGCGCGCGCGTGTACTTACACCGTCATACCAGCATCTCAGGCTGAGCTGACCACACATGCAGGTACCGGATGAGCAGTCGTCTGTACAGCTGCAGTGCTGAGTGACACAGTGAGAGCTGATGTAAGTCAAGTGTGATGAGTTCCTGCGTGTAGACCTGGTGAGCCTGACGTGAATGTCTCATGGTGACGTGAAGCTTGCAGCAACGAAGAGACCAAAACCAACTACGTCTTAGGCTGCAAGGACACTTGTCTTTTCAATGCGGGACATTGGAACTCAGCGTTGTGTCACCTGATACTTCTACGTGCCCCGTCTGATCAGACAGTGACTGGATATATTTCGGGGTTCTTAACACCTTTCATTTCCTATAAATTCTTCACAATGAAAGTCATTCTTTTAGCTGCTTCCTCGCTGCAGCATTAGTACGTTTGATGAACGGTCTGGACTGTGGCCCATGCTGTGCACGCTTCACTGAGATGAGAACATACTGTGAGCTAGGTCTTACCGGTTGGATCTGATCTGGGAACCAGCAGACTTGACAGTTCATGCGTCTTGTTATGATCGGATGACTAAAGTGTCATTGAAAAGACGAGTGTAACCGTGGCCTCATCTTTCAACACTCTCACCCTGCGTGTAGCACGCCCACCCATCGCTTCCTACTGAAGACATTCATCTTTAGAAACTAATGCTAAATATGAACTTTCATTAGTTCAGTAGCTTCCTAAAACAGCTGGTGACTGTAGTTTCCATCATGCGCTACTCAGACAGGAGGACAGACTGTAGAGACACTCACTGCTAGTTTAGGATCGACTTCTTCTTCAAACACACAGATCTTTGCTGTCTTGAGAGCATCTCACCTGTAGATGCGTGATGTCCCGGTCCATGTTCAGCGGGGAGGTGACACAGCTGTCAGGAATGTATTTAAAGTTTTCAGGGCTCGGCTCGCTGTCAACACCGTTAACACAGGTAATAGGAACGGCCTCGTACCCCCGAGAGATGTCCCTAAGAGAAGAGAAGGAACACTCGTCTTCAAAATCAGATTCAAATATGCACGGAAACAGAAATGCATATAGATCTGTGTCAAGGACACATGTTACATTAACTATAACTTAAAGCAGCGCTGATAATATCTGTATGTGAGCAACCAGTTGATGATGATGCAATGATGATGTATAACGTTAGTCTCTGCTTATTGTTTAGTCTCCAGCTCACTCCACATCTCTCACAACAGCTCGTTAGTCTCTGCTTATTGTTTAGTCTCTGCTTATTGTTTAGTCTCCAGCTCACTCCACATCTCTCATAACAGCTCGTTAGTCTCTGCTTATTGTTTAGTCTCCAGCTCACTCCACATCTCTCATAACAGCTCGTTAGTCTCTGCTTATTGTTTAGTCTCTGCTTATTGTTTAGTCTCTGCTTATTGTTTAGTCTCCAGCTCACTCCACATCTCTCACACCAGCAACATGCTGCTGCTCCTCAGTCTGGAACATCTGCTACACATTCATGTTCCCAGAGGAGGACTCGTTTGAATCTAGCGCCATCATTAGATAAGTGAAGGTGAGCTGAACATAGAGGGGGACCATTGGAAACAGTACACCTGCTCTGAACCACATGCAAGCTTTGTCATTGTGAGCATGTTAGCATTGAGCAGATATCTTTCTCAGGAGTTGGTGGAGACAAAACCAGAACCAGAAGGACAGTGAACGGTGGACACAATCATGAGCCCAAATGAAAGCTGCTCCGTGTCTGCTGGATGTGAACACAGGCAATCTGTTGGATGGTGAGTTGGAGAAGGGTTGGAGATGTGTAGCGTTTCCATCTTTAGTCCTGACTTGTTCATCGCACAGCTTACACATCACGGTGTTCATGTCCTCTGGCTCTCCTTTTCTCTCAGACCAAAGAGTCACCAAACAGGCTCATTGACATTCTGTCTGCTAATGAGAGCGGACATCTTTACTGCTTGAATTAGGGCTACAAGGACTGTGCCCAATAGTTTGAAGCTTCATTCATAACATTGACATTCTAATTATTATAAGTAATAACGTACAGAAACATGCACACAATAATCTACTGGCCTTCCTCCGTCTCTTAAACACAAACACAGCAGCCGACGTGGCTCTGTGTCCTCGTCTCTGTCATTGTCTCAGTCCTCCAAAAGTCTAAATTCTTTGAAAAAATATGGATGTAATCATTTCCAAAACATGTTTTTATCCAACAAAATATTCTCCATATTTGAAATCTACGTTTTTGCTACGGTCAAAAAATGTATCAACGGCTGGTTACGTTTACATAACCACAATGACCCGATCAGACTGATCAGACGTATGCTATGAAGTGGTCACATCCACACAAGCCCCGTTTAAAGAAGCTCTGTGTTCAGACAAAAACCCAAAGAAAGCGCCGTCAAAGCCAGCGGGACATCTTTGATGCAATAACCTGGCTCGTGATTCCCTAATGTACCCAAAGAACTCCTCCCACTCTCTGGCAATCCCCGTCTGGAATACCTCTTTCATAATGCCACACTTTGTAATAGGAACCTGAGACCAGCTTTCTGTCTTTAGCGTCATCATATTCCATTTCCTGTTTCTCTAGTGGGTTCTGAAAGTGTTTCATAAGCAAGACAGGAAGACAAGTCTCAAGTCCCAGAGGAACACCCGAACAGAGATGAGAGCAAACAGCAGCAATAAGTACGACAAAGACTGTTTCATACAACACACACACACACACACACACACACACACACACACACACACACACA